CCGGCCATACACACACAGCCACGTACAGAGCAGCTGGCTGAGGAAACCCGTAGTTGGAGACTCAGGATCTGTTCTCTAAACAAAGAGTGTTTGTCAAGGAAAGATGGAGAATGTGAGTGTTTTATCTACAGAGATGGTTAATAACTACTATAGTAGGACCAGAGGTGGAAAAGGAATGGCAGTTTCACCTGGCACAAAAGATACAAAAGTCCTTCTACCCCCAAAATAGTCTTTCTTATTTTGGCAGTTACAGAGTAATTCTGCCTTTTCCCTTTTACTCATTCAAAAGGGAAGTCTGCCAGAGTGTGGAATTCAACAACTTACACAAATCTAGTGATCATTCTAGGGAGAGACATTACGCTGAAGAAAAAAGAGATAATAAAAAACAAACAAATAAATAAACAACAAAAAAAACCACAAGGAATCCTTAGATTTGCTTCTAGAAAAATAATGCTTTCAAAAAGAAAAACATGAGAGTTGGATAAAGTTTCTCATTTATCTTTATATGTATACTCACAATTTCCTATAAATTAATATGCATGATATTTATTATCCTGACAATGATACCATATGTGTAATGTTTTAAACTTTTAGAAATTAATATAATTTCCTTTTTCCTAAGATGTTTACTGCTGCCTAGGCTATAACAGCAATGATTAGACATAATACTAAATGAGAAACTCAGTAAGCAATATCTAGGATATGCATAATGCAACTTCCAAGAGAAAGACAAAATATAGACCAGAATATGCCAGGGCCTATCGATTTCTGTACCCTACTCTACCAAAATTTTTTGGATTCTTACCATAGCCAACGTCCTGACGACAGATTAACTGAGGAACTGTCCAGCCTGAACGGTTCCTAGAGTAGACTAAGCAGTATAACAGATAAACTCAATCTGTTTGTCTTTTAAGATAAGCCATTTCCAATATTTAAATCCAGTCTGGGGAGGACCTGACAGAATTTAGAGACACTGGAATAAATCCATGTCTTGGAGAAGATTCTGAAATTATCCCAAGAAGATATGAGCATTACATGGCTCTAATCTTCTGTGAAAACTTAAAAATGAAATCAGTCTGTACAATGAGGCCTAGAGATAATCCATCATCTATCCCCCAGCCTTTTCAGCTGTATCACTTATGGTACACTTAATTCTTTACAAAGGAACTCAATGTCTTGAAAAAGTTGAGTTAGATTGTGCCTTTGAAAGTGCTTAAATGATATCCAGAGAGAGCCTAACATAGTTTTTCTATTGCATGTAAACAAAGGAAAGTTGTTAAAAGAACAAATAATGTTTTTATTAATCATTAGAAGTCTGTTTGGCCTATACATATCATATAGCTGAAATCCATATTTCTAATGCTCTTTACATATTCCCAATAGAAAATACCTGAGGGTTAGCTGTTTTTAATTGATGAATTTGAGTAAAACTATAAACCTGACAAAGAGCATTTTCAGGGTTCCAGACTCACCTGTCTGTAATTTTGTCCCCACAATGCTCACCTTTTTCCTCCTGCTCACATGCCAGTTCTCTTCCATCTTTATGTCTTTTTTCAGAATCAAAAAGACAAAAAGGACCCTAGAAAAAAATCTAGCCCAATGCCCTTATTTTAGAGAAAAATAAACTTGAGGCTTACACAGTTAAAGTGATTTACCCGAGGTCACACAGCTAATAAGAGATGAAGCTAAGACCAGAACTAGGCCTCTGATGCCTATTTAAAAATTGCAAAGAATATGATGTTTATGTATGTCTTCAGAGCCCTAAACCTCCTCAGTTCTTCCCTCTTGGTGGAACAATTCATCAACATTCAATCATTAATAAACTTCTTATTAATTCTATACACATGACAAAATAGGAAAGGATTCAGTATACATTTACACTAGATGATTCACTTACTGATAATATTTCTATTCTGTTTTCAACTTTATATTTATCTTTTAAAATGGAAAACATTTTAATACTTCCCAAACAAAAAAAATATAGAGCTTAATGATGTCCACAATTTAAATTCAGAATAAAAAAGAATTACCTTAGCTGCTTACTTTGCATAAAGCAATGCTATAACATTTATTTCATTTCCCTAAAGGAAAGGCCAGGAATCACACATGGATTCCATTTTAATACTCACCACAAAAGTGATTTGATTGTGTCGTAGGTTAAGTTCCGTTAGTGAATCCAGCCCATTAAGATTATCAACATGACTTAAAAGGTTCCTGGCAAGGTTTAAAACTCTCAAATCACACAAATGATTGACATTTTCAATTTTGGCAATCTGTTAAAGATGAGGAAGGAATGATTAGCATGCATAAATCCCAGATATGTATGTTGTAAAAACTAAAAATTAAATATACAGCCATTGGACTAAGGGACTAGTTTATATGAAAACATCTAAAGCTCTATTTCCTATCTCAGTGACATCAGAGGAACGGCAGCGTGAGAGATCCCCTTGGTTTCTCCCCTTGAAGTTTCAACAATTTGAACAGCTATAATTCAACAAAGGATTCCCTGCTCAACTCANGGCAGCATGAGAGATCCCCTTGGTTTCTCCCCTTGAAGTTTCAACAATTTGAACAGCTATAATTCAACAAAGGATTCCCTGCTCAACTCACAAACACATCTGAGATCCGAGCATTGAAATATTTAAAGGTGGGCAAGTGGGAGCGAACCGGAGAGGCGAGAAAGGAGTAGAACTCAAAGGAGCCACAGACTCAGCCTTGCAGCCAGAATCTCACTGAGGGGCTCAGCACAGAGAGAAGAGGAATCAGGTTGTGTATGGCACTCCCTTCAACCCAGAGGAGGAAAGATTTAGTCAGCATTCCTGTAGGACTGGGCAGTGCAAGCTGTGGCTGAGCCCAGTGACCTGGGCAGGGACAAAGCACAGTGGTACAGCCACAGTTGTTTGGCCATGGAGCCTGGCTCCCTTCCCTTAACCACCAAGAGCTCCCCTCCCCTCACCCTTCATTTGGGAATGCAGAAAACATTTTCTGCAAACCTGAGAACTGGTACTACAGAAACACTTTTTCCCTGAGTGAAAGGTACACTCTGCTACTAACGCCAGGGTCTGGTGGAAGTACCGGGGGGATGCTGCGAAGGTACACTGGTTGCCATTGCCAGGGCAGAGCAACAAAAAAGTTGGCCAGGTTCCCCCAGCTCACCCAGCCCCCACACAATGAGGCTGCACTGCTGACAACATCTGGCCATGGGAGACAACACTGGGATTTCACGGATTTGGAGCTCCACTGCCCAAAGAGTTCCCCCGCAAGGTTAGTCCCCTGGGACCTGGGTAACTGGATCACAGGGGAGGCGCCCACATTCCCAGGGAACACAGGCCATTTTCTATCACCCCATGGAGATCTGAAAACCAAGAGAAGTGCAAGAGAGCTAAAAAACTTGTGATTCAGAGCCACCTACTGGAAAACAATAGAAATACTTCTTCATATCAATCTATTAGAAAACTTATACATAGATGCCTACACAGAGAAGGAATTCATCAAATACCATAAGTAACCAAAGTAATGAGGCATCTCAGAATGAAAATTCCCCACAAAATAACAAAGACATAGAAATATGTTATTTAAATGACAGAGAATTCAAGATAGCAGTTCTGAAAAACTCAATGAGCTGCAAGAAAACAGAGAGGCAGTTTAATGAAATCCAAAAACAAATAAACAAACGAAATGAGTACTTTACCAAAGAGATAGAGGCTTTAAAAAAGAACCAAATTGAAATTCTAGAGATGAGGAATTCAATAAAAGAGATTAAGAATGAACTAGTGAGCATAGGAAGTAGAGCTGATCAGATGAGAAAAGAATTAGTGATATCAAAGATAAAAATCTAGAAATAACACAGAGGGAAGAAGAGAGACATGTGCATTAAAAAAAAACAGAAAGAGCCCTACAAGAACTATCTGACTCCATCAGAAAGCAATGTAATAAAAATAAGCATATCAGAAAAAGAGCAAGACAGTATGGAACTGAGAGCCTATTCAAACAAATAGTTGATGAGAACTTCCCAAACCTATGTGAAGAGCTAGATTGTTGAATCCAAGAAGGGAATAGAACACCTAATTACCTCAATCCAAAAAGACCTTCTCCAAGGCACATTGTATTAAAACTGTCAAAATTAATGACAAAGAAAGAATTATCAAGGCAGCCAGGGAAAAGAAGAAAATAGCCTATAAAGGAAAGCCTATTAGGATATCATTTGACTTCTCAGCAGAAACTCTACAAGCCAGAAGAGAGTGGAAGCAAATATTCAAACTACTGAAAGAGAAATTACCAGCCAAGAATAATAGATCCAGCAAAGTTATCCTTTAAATATGAAGGAGCAATAAAGACTTTTCCAGATGTACAGACGCTGAGGGAATTTATCACCAGAAAACCTCCATTGTAGGAAATACTCAAGGGGGTTATTCTACCTGATACAAAGAATATAAACTCACAACACTATGAGTAAGATCCTAACAAACTTACAGCAGAAACAAATAATTTGTGACAACAGTAACATAAAAGGAGAAGGGATAGAGGTCCCAATTAGCAAAGGAGGATAGAGATCAGATGCATTAAAAAAAAGGACTACTGTATATATGAAATTTCTTTTTCATAAACTTAATGGTAACCATACCCCAAAACCCCCCCAAACTGAAACACATAACTTAAAAAAAGAGGAAAGAGGAAAAAAGTATGGAATACCACCAAACAGAAACATAAATGAAAAGAACCAATGGAGGCACAGAGCTACCAGAAAACAAGATAAAACAGCTACAGAAAATCCTCATACATCAATAATTACCCTAAATGTAAATGGACTTAATTCACCAATAAAAAGGTAAAGAGTAGCATATTAGATCAAAACCAAAACCCAACCATATGCTGCCTTCAAAAGACACATCTAAGCTGCAAAGACAAAAATAGATTCAAAGTGAAACGGTGAAAAATTAATCTCTAAGCAAATAACAGACATAGAAAAACAGGTGTAGCTATACTTATATCTGATAAAATAGATTTCAAGATAACAAAGGTAACAAGACACAAAGATGTATATTTTATAATGATAAAGGGGACATTACCTCAAGAAGACATAACACTTCTCAATATATATGTACCCAGTCAGGGAGCACTGAAATATATAAAGCAACTACTAACAGAACTAAAGGGATAAAATGACAAAAACACAATCATAGTAGGGAACCTAAAAACTTCACTGACAGTTCTAGATCAATCATCCAAACAGAAAATCAATAAAGAAATATCGGCCTTCTGGCCGGTGTGGCTCAGTGGTTGAGCGTCAAACCATGAACCAGTTCGATTTCTAGTCAGGGCACATGCCCAGGTTGCGGGCTCGATCCTCAGTAGGGGGTGTGCAGGAGGCAGCCAATCCATGTGTGTGTCTCTCACATCAATGTTTCAGAAATCTCTCTATCCCTCTCCCTTTCTCTCTCTCTAAAATCAATAAAAATGTATTTTTTAAAAAAGAAAAGAAATATAGGCCTTAAGTGACACATTAGACCAAGTGGACATAATCGATATGTACAGAGCCTTTCATCTCAGAACACCAAATATGCATTCATTTCTAGTGCACATGGAACAAGGACAAACCATATCTTGGGACACAAACCTAGCCTTAACAAATTTAAGAAGATTGAAATCATACTAAGCATATTCTCTGACCACAATGCTTTGAAATTAGAAATCAACTGTAGAAAGGAAGTAAAACCCCCCCACAAATATGTGGAGATTAAACAACATACTACTAAAAAATAACTGGGTTAAAGAAGAAATAAACGGTGAGGCCAAAAATATAGAGAAACAAATGAGAATAACAATACGATATAAAAAAACTTCTGGGATGCAGTGAAAGCAGTAATAAGAGGAAAGTTTATATCATTACAGGCCTATCTCAAGAAACAAGAGAAATCCGAAGTGAACAACCCAACACTACATCTTAAAGAACTAGAAAAAGAAGAACAAAAGCAGCTCAAAGGCAGCAAGAAAAAAGGAAATAATAAAAACTAGAGCAGAATTGAATAAAATAGAGAACAAAAAGACTATACAAAAAATTAATACAACAAAGAGCTGATTCTTTGAAAAGATTAATAAAATTGACAAAACCTTGGCTAGACTCACTAAGGAAAAAAGAGAAAAGACTCATAAACAAATCGGAAATGAAAGAGAAGATATCACAGACATCACAGATATACAAAGGATCACACTAGAATATTATGAAAGACTATATGCCACCAACTTCAATAACCTAGAAGAAAAGTATAAGTTCCTAGAAATACATAACTTTCCTAGACTGAATCATGAAGACTTGGAAAATCTAAATAGATGGATCAACAGTGAGGAAATTGAAACAACCATCAAAAACCTCCCAAAAAATAAAAGCCCAGGACCAGATAGTTTCATTACTGAATTCTACCAAGCATTCAAAGAAGATCTGATACCTATCCTTCTCAAACTCTTCCAAAAAACTGAGGAAGAAACAATACTTCCTAACACATTTTATGAGGCCAACATAACCCTGATACCAAAACCTGGCAAGGATAACGCCAAAAAAGAAAACTACAGACCAATATCTCTGATTAATACAGAGCCAAAAATCCTAAACAAGCCCAGCTGGCATGGCTTAGGGGTTGAGCATCGACCTATCATCCAGGCAAGCACTGTTTGATTCCCGGTCAGGGCATATGCCCCGGTTGTGAGCTCAATTCCCAGTGTGGGACGTGCAGGAGGAAGCCAATCAACGATTCTCTCATTATTGATGTTTCTATCTCCCTCTCCCTTCCTCTCTCTGAAATCAATAAAGATATCTATATTTTTTAAAAATCCTAAACAAAATACTAGCAAACTGAATACAACAATGCATTAAAAAAACAACAACATCACAATCAAGTGGGGTTCATTCCAGGAGCATAAGGATGGTTCAACATACACAAATCGATCAATGTACTATACCATATCAACAAAATGAAGAATAAAAATCATATGATCTTATCAATAGATGCAGAAAAAGCATATAAAATACAACATCCGTATATGATTAAAACACTCAATAAGATAGGTACAGGAGGAAAGTACCTTAACATAATAAAGGCCGTATATGACAAACCCTCAGCTAATATCATACTCAGTGGTGAAAAAACGAAAGCTTTCCCTCTAAGATAAAAAACAAAACAAGGATGCCTACTCTCACCACTCTTATTCAACATAGTCTGGAAGTCCCAGCCAGAGCAATAAGGCAAGAGAAAGAAATAAAAGGCATCCAAATTGG